AGAAAGCTACTTCTTGACAGAACCCACAAGAGTATTACGTATTGAAAAGACTGTAGCTCATGGTAGAGGTGCACATCTAGATTGTTTAGATAACAATTTTGAATTGTATTAAGGTCGGGAGAGACTATTGTTGGAGTGTTGGATTTGTGCTGTTGTAAAACACGATCTTCAAACGTGAATACAGAATACTTCTTGGTCTAATAAGAGTCCAAGTGGGGTTTAGAGAGAGTTGGAGCTTGTGGGGCCAATTAATGTTATTACTTATTATAAAAATTACATCAGTGAAAAAGTCAGTGGAAAATATATCACCGCTGTACAGACGACTTTGTGTGTATATGGCAAAGTGATGGTGTTGGACATTTGGTGCCAATCACAATTGTAGTAATGCTTGTCGCGCACGTGTCTGTGGTCTGATGAAGGCAAGGCCATGCGACCCACGTGTCTGGGTAGTGAAGCATGTTTATGTCATGTCATGGTAATGTGCGATAATGATGGGCTGTGATAGTTGTGAGATTCTCCACTTGAGGCACTTCTAAACCTACACATGCTGTAACGTTAGGAATTCTGTTTCCAGAAATTCATCATTACTGTTGTACTGTGACAATCCAAGCGCAGAAAGCCACGTATCTAATTTCATGTTTTTCGGGAAATGCCACGTTAAATTTTGTTATAGAAACGATGTCTGTTTGTTTTAAGCTGTCTCTGGGGCCAAATCAAATGTGTTTGAAAAAGGGTGTGGTATAGTTACATGTACTTTCAATGGGGGTTATACAGCAAGTACCATAATAGTACATTAGTTTAACATGGAACTGAATCTCAAACCCCCCGCAAGCGCAGGTGCGTGATTCTAATGATATTGTATATTTCTCAGCCATTTTTCACAGATGGTAAAAGTGAGTTGATAAAAAAACTTGATTTCGAAAGCCCCACAAGCAAACTGCACGTTGCTTATCATGCCTACATACAATCTATGAGGAATTCTACTTGTATATGTAACTCCAAGCAACTGTGTGTGTCTTATCTTGTGCGTTATAATTTTCCAACGATGTCCTTACATATGTACATGTACATGTAGTGAGGAGATGAGAGAATTATCTTGTGCGTTATAATTTTCCAACGATGTCCTTACATATAAACGACGTTCACAAATGGCCAAATAATACCACATTCTAATTATTGATTAAAATGAGCTGTATTAGTCAGCATTTATTTATTTGTTTATTTTTATTTGCACATGCGTAAAAAATACAAAACAATACAGAAAGTAAACATAATAATCGGACGAAACAGAAAATAGAATAATTAACCTAAACAGAATGAATGTGCTGGAGGAGGAAGAAGCCTTTGGGCTCCAAAACAATTACTCTTGGACAACCTCATTGATAGAATACACATGAATGGTTAAGTTGATATGTTGTTTCAGATGATAAATGAATATTGTCGAGTGTAAATTGAGAACTTGGATTACTTCCATGATTAAGGTTTTGATCTGCTCATTAATTGCATTTTCTTCGTGAAACAGACAGCCATGGCGTACCGTGTGAATGTGGACCAATATACATGTATTTCTGACGTCACATATCTATATAGCCATATATGGTCATGCGATGTGCCAGAACCAATCAAGCTGTTGACCAGTTACCATGGTGACTGGACAGACTGTGCCATGACAGGAGATCATATGATTAGAATTAGATATTGCGGATGTCGTATGTGTATTTTTGGCTTTGTGTGTCAGCAAATAAAATCGGTATATTTGGAATTTCGAGTTTGTCATGTGAGTTCTGTTCTCCTCGGTGTCCGCGCAGTGATGTCAGAAGTTAAACAAACCAACCCTGTGTAAACAGCTGGTGTATTTTGTGCCGCGTGTTTAGAACCACAGAGTCCATCATGATCGATGTTGACACTTTGCCCCAGGGATCAAAGAACAGTCCATAGGTAGTATACTAGCGCTCCTAAGATGGCGGGTAGGTACGATCACCAGTAATACATTCTACGCTGCCAGTGTCACTTTAACAGTTTGACAGTAATGCGTAGATTGAAAATCATCTGGCAAAACGTACGCTGAGGTTGATTAAGCCTTATATTGCGCTAAGTGCATGGAAATGGCTTACTCTTGCGCACGGACTTGCATAAAGTTCCCGCCTTTTCGAAATCGGGGAGGAAATTTCCTTTCTTTTGGAAATCGGCGAGAAAAATTTACTTTCTTCCATCACACGAATTGTACACACGTTTGGCAACAGGATTATGTTTTCCCCATCACTGTTCACCTTGTTTCCTACGACAGGTCAGTGCTGAACAGTGAAGAGATTCAGAAACTAAGGTGTCTGCTGGAGGCAGACGAGGGACTACAGACGTACCACTACGGACGTGACGATGGGGAGGGGGGCCGCACCAAACTCGCCCTGTGGCACAAGCTTGGGAACGACATCACCGGCGTCGTGACCAGGGTAGAAAAAGTGGCGGGAACGATGGAGCAGGTATCAGACCCATTAGCAAG